GCAGCGTTTCTCTTCGGGTAATTATGGGCCTGGGGTCTAGAACCCTAACTTAGGGTTCAGGGTATCGGTTTTGGGGTCCTCCTTCGTATAGAGATTGCACATTTTGGACTCCCAGACCTGGCTAAGCTTAAGCTAACGGACGGCAGGTTCCACATGCTGATGCAAGTCCATCTATGAGCAAATTGTTGACCTACCGGCAAAGAACAGCTTCCCACCCAGCCCTGATCCCTTTTGGCTAGCGAGGTTGCGAAGATGTTGACGACGCCCTCAGCTGCGAGGAACTGCCAAATGGTAACTTCCGAGTTGGAGTGCCTGTGTCAGACTGTGGACCGTTGTCAAACTGGCAAGCACTGTCGCTGTAGGTTTTGGAAGTAACTTCGGGCAAATTCATGTATTCTACAGCATCCAGCAAACAGGATGGGCCTTCCTTGGTTGTACATTCCGCTCCACACCCCCCAGAAAATCGACATCCTTGTAATATCCTTGTGATATAGTGGCCTTCGAACGGGCCCCAGATTGTCAGGACTCGGATACGGTGGTTAATAGCCTGCTTTTGTTTGCTTTGTTGTTGGGTGTTCTTGGTTGTTGGCGGGCAAGGGGCTCCTGACCCAGTGCCTGGCTGTTGGATTCATGAGCCATTCTGAATGCATGTTGGGTTTTTGTCGCAACGCTGCCAATATCCAGGCTAAGCCTGCTATGGTTTCCATTCCAAAACGGCGGGAATCGACATAGGGCTCTGTGTGGCATGCCATTTTGCTGCCACATCTCCCACTGCGAAACCCGTACCCTCATGGCAGTAGATTTGCTTGGGGAATACGTTGAGGTGCACATAGCTGATGTGACCCGGTTTGTCCGGCCCGGTACAGCCTTGGATCGCGAGGCAGGAAGCGATGTGCAGAGACCGGCGGGTAATTTGCTGGCCAATTCTCTTATGCATAGCCTAGGTATGAACCTAACCTCTTCTTATGACTTCGCGGGCAGCTGTTCAGCCACATCAGGGCAACTCTATTTGAACCTTCGAGGAAGCTGCGCGTGCGCAATAGCCATTGAGGGTTAGCCGCTAATTCCGCCAGTTAGCCATACTTCCGAGACATTTGCTTCGGTCAAGTGATTGTCAAGGCAAAGAAGACAGACCCGCAGAGGTAGAGCTGTTAGTTTGACACCGCGAAATGTGGTGCCCAAGAATGCAGAGTTTCATGGCCTCAGCTAAAGTCCTTGTTGTTTTTCATTCTTAGCCGCGATGATAGTGGTCACGGTGATTATGGAATTGTGGAGCAGGGAGGTATGCAAGGCCATGCTGGTGACGATCCTGACAATTGCAGGTTGCCGGCTGTTGTCTCGTGGCCAATCTCAAAGTCACAAGCTTTGTGTTCTTGCAGGACCCATCGTTTGCGAATCCCTTGACTTCCCTTCAGGTCCTCTCGAAGGTCTTTCTTTTCAGTGGTGGGATTGCGTTTTTGAGGCTACAGCCTGCAGTGGCTGGATGTGACAATGACTGCCACAGCCGAGTCCAAAAGAAGTGCATGTTCATGTATCGAAGGTACAGCGACGTAGACCCCTGGCTGAAAGTTTCAGACCATCTTCCACCCCTCCACATGTTCCAGCTCCTGCAGTATGCAATGCACCCCCTTCTCAGGCAGTATCCTCAATATCGGGAGTTTCTCAAAGCAACCCCTGCAGAATCCTCATCTCCTCATGATGTCCATATATCCCTACATTATTTGATGGTGCCCCATGGTATTCTCGTTTTGAGAAACACCCATGTTGCCCAGATAGCGCCAAGCCTTTGTCTTTGAGCAACCCCTGTTAGCTGTCAGGGTGCCGAGAGGGCTACCTCCGTATACCTGGTGAACAGGAGAGTGGCGGCTTTGGCATTATTCAGGAACCTTGCGGGTTAGAGTTTAGGGCCCTGACAAACGCAACTAAGGGGTTAGGTTGTTCTTCTCCACTGGTCGGTATAAGATTGCACGGAAGCTGACTGTGCGTGTAGTTTTTGGACTGTTTTTTTGGAATGCCTTTTCCAAAGGCAGACCGTGGTGGAACACGCTCGAGATGCACATCGTATAGATTCTAACTAAACTTCCAGCCCATCGTAAACACATGTATAGCAAGTATGGTGGCAGTGTAGCGTAGGTACAAGCAAGAAAAACACGGCAAAGCCTGTAATAGTGGCTACAACAAACAATGATATCAATGGTTTTTCTGCTTCCAAGGACATGCTGCCGAAGCTGTTGACGACCGAGGTCTGTTCATTGAGGTTTGATGGCAAGGCGCAGATCATGGGATGCCCACTAAACCATACATGAGACCCTATAACAAATTGTTCATGAATCGTTGCCATAGTAGCCGCAGAGAGCCACTCTCAAAGTAGCGATATTATTTGGACAAGCAACAGCAATTTGTTCCCGCGATAGTCGCGCGCAGAGTGTTGTGCCATGCAGGCACTGAATTTCCGCGTTCAAGTCCGACTCCTGCTCTAGTCGATGCGAGCTTTTTCAGGCTTGATTTGTTGGATCAAACTACAAGCGGGGGCCCTGTGAACAGAACTGTTACTTTGAAGCGCGACTTGGAATGCCGCGGGCTATCCCCAAGGATCAAAGTGACCAGAGATCACTCTTTGGCTTCCATGGGACTATGTCGTGTGATGCGGCTTTGAGTACGGCCCCCCAACCGCTCCAAGTAGAGCTGTATTTGGTGATACAATATGGATGCCAGTTAAATGATTTTATGGCTTCAACCCCCGGACCCCTAAAAGATGCAGCCGCTTCAGGACCACTTCACATTCTCCGCCGTCTTCGAGCTGACTCCAGACTCGGAGGTGGTGAGTGCACACTTTGTCAAGGCCAGGCAGTTGGCTGGGGGTTTAGGATTGTCAGGGTGGAGAGCGCTGTAAAAAAAAAAACACAGAGCTCAAACAAACAAACGAATAGACACACAAAAAGCCAAAATCCTCCTATTCGAGCCCTCTTGTGAAGCGTCCTGACGCCTTCGTTTCTTCTGAGGTCCATGACCTCCAGCAGACGAAAGCAAGACAGCAAAACAAAGAACAACTGCAAGAAGAGAGAGGTAAGTACAGAGTAATGTTGAAAAGAAGATGAAGAAAGACATAGTCCCACACCCCCACCCCATCGCTATTTCAAAAGAGCACACAATGCCGTGGAAGTGCTATCAACGGTCAGTCAGAAATCATGTGTTCCCATCTTCGTCCATGTTTTGCAAAAGTGGGGCCCCCCTGTCTCCCCCCCACCTCTCACCCAACACTTCGGACGCTTTTCCATCAGGGAACGGCTGGGGAAGCTGTTTAAGCACCGAAAACCTCCGTGTTCTCATCGTTGCCCCTTAGTCCCGCCACCAGTCTATCAAGAGTGAGCAAGAGCTTATATGTTCGTATCTCCGTGCATGTTTCGCAAATCGCGTGAGTCGGCAAATGTCAGCAGAAGCCAGCAGAAAGAAGGTGTTCAGAGGATGTGCCGTTGGTGTTTCTATGTGGTGATGATGAGGTTGTCCTGAAAATCATTGGGGCAAATCGCGCATGGCAGTTTCAGCTTGGCGCGGTTTGCTCACACCAAACATGTGACATCATGTTCTACTGGGCTCCACAGGAAGCATCCTACACCACCAGGAATAAGGTTTCGTTGCATTTGCTTACTTTCATGTTGCGGAGGACGCGGAGTACACGAAAGTGCATTTTAACTGGCCTGGCCAGCGGAGGAATTACTCCACTGGAATAAATGTACAATACCTTAATGGGGGTTTCCCAAAATTAGGGGTACCTTTTTGGGGGTCCCTATAATAAGGATTATAGTATTTTGGGGTCTATATTGGGGTCCCCTTACTTAGGGAAACTACCTAATTGTTCCGGACGGAGGACTTGGTGGAGGAGTCTACAGGGGCAGGGGATTTGAGCAAGAAATTGGCAAGGATGCAGTAGTGCGACGAACTTTCGTCCTGCCGCAGTAGAACCCTGGAGTTGATCAAAATGCTAGATGGTGAGGATCGTACTATAAAAGCAATGTGGGAGGTCTCTGGTGTCCTGCTTTACCTGTTGTGTTACTTGTTTGCATTTTCTTTTGGGTGTCCATCCCTGGAACGTAGACCAGCTAGCAGGATTCCACGCACAGCATTGAGGTTTTCTGACCATTGCATTGATTCTGTGAGGCCCTGTGCAGGCCTAGGAAACGATAGCAGAATATAAGCTTGCATCGTGAGGGTCATCTCTTGGAAATTCGAATAGTTTCCATTTTCTTTTCCATTATGCCACTATAATTACCCCAGTATATACCCCAATATACTATAGTAGTTTCAATTTTCTTTTCCATTCTCCCAATATACTCACAGTATTTATTTTCGACAGGAAGGCAAGCAGGGTCAGGAGTTCGCCCCTGGGCTCCTTTTGGAGGCCTATGAACGTGGAGGGATTTAACTATGGCAACGTTAAACATCGTGGGCTTGCTATGCCCTCCCTGAATTTCGCGCATTGGCTCGGGGTTGCATTTGAGCCCCATTATATCACGAGGCTTATTTCATACTTTGTCGCCCTACGGATATACTCAAAATGTCTGAAGCTCCAAGCCATACCTGGTACGGTTAAAGTGCAGCACCCAGCATGTTGGCGCACAAGTTTCCACCCCAAGGCCGTCTTTGGGAACTGAACCAATCACCCTTGCTTCATCAATGCAAGTTACAACTCCATCCTGGAAATGAAGATGCCGAGTCGTTTTTAGACTCCTGGACCCACCACAAGGGCAGAATGATGGCCTTTTTGTTGGACCTGGTGTTGAAGTCCAGACAGTCCTAGCCTTCCGCAGCATGTCTGTTGCGGTGTTGAAATGAGAAGTTGTTCAGTAATCGTTGTCTTGAGAACGAGACTTAGGATCCTGGTGCTATCCTAATATACCGAAAAACCATTCTAAGTCATTGTGGCTTTCTCAAAAGGCCAACACAATTCCATAATCTCAGAATACTTTTGGCACCTTTCCCTCACCTCAGTCCCTGTCCAGGCGGTGATTCGCTCCAGAGGGGCTCTGTCCTACCAGGAGGCGCGGCCCCTTGGGGTTGGAAGCCGAGCCGGCATCAAGAGCTTCTGAGTAGCTTGTCGAATTTTGTAGTATTGACCTGATCCTTACACTTCCTGTCTGGCATGTAGTAAGCTTGGTCATCGTAGCTTCCCAGAAGCATTCCTATAGAATCACAGGCATTATTACTGGTACCCTGGTAGGACGAGTATGTGCTGAGTAGGTGTTCCCCGACAGAGGATTGCAGCAAGTTGTCGGGTTTGAAAGAACACCTGAGGGGGGGTTGGGGGCTCTGGGGGTTCAGTTGTGAGATGCATCCAGCAAAGCTTCTACCACTCGTGCTTAATGCCCCCCCAGCCTGGCAAGTGCAGGCGGTGAAGCAGCTCCTGAGATCTAAGATTAGAACAGCTTACTGTACCCTGAGGTCCTAAGTTAATGTGCGTTGTGTGCTTGGCATTGTTAGTAAATAGTAATGTTCACGAGGCGCAAAGAGATCAGCTCTTGCCTTTGTCCTCCTGTCGCAGGCCCAAGAAAGACTGGACTCTGATCCTGCGGAAGACCAGTCAGAGGTCTGTTCCTTGCGATTTGGAAGGGTGTAGAACAGCAAGCATATGATAGCTTGCGGTACGATTCTTACCTTTCGCTGGGTATGCCCCTCTTGCGGTACCGCCGGTGCCGTATCATTGGCACATGCCTTGCGTTCGCAGACACGATCATCGTCATGAAAGAGTATCCATATCGCCTAGAAGATGGTGTTCAGTCATACCACTGTCGTGTCAGCCTTTTTTCGCACAGAAAATCCGTGTCCATGTGGGACTTGCTGCTTCTGAAGACTTCCAGCAAACCAAAGGTTTTTTTAGCTTTTCATCCCAAGCTTTGTGTTCATGACGTCACCTTCAGGTCTGTGTGGATCCTTGTCACAATAGGTATGCAGAAACATGGCGACACAGTCTGAAACACCGATATCGCTCTTCATTCTCGCCTGCACATGTCAGAAGCTGAAAAGCTTCAGGAGAACTAGAAGCCACTTGAGTGATTTTGCCTGCAGTTTGGCTAGAGCGGCAGAGGAAGTGGGCAGCTAAAGGTTATCCGTGGCAAAATGTGTTTGACGCGATTACTATTGCTCCTGCTACTGGTGCTGCTACTGCTGCTGGAACTGCAATGTGTTATTGCCCACATCATCCCTCTTGACCACTTCCATTACCTCTTTCCTTGTCCTTTGAGAGATCCATTTCAAGGTCACCGTAGCCATCCGGAATCTCTGGAAGCTCGCTCAGAAGCTCCGATCCAAGAGGATTGAGGCCAAGTGGATGAATGCATCACTGCAAGGTTACTACAGTTACCCTCACACAAGCAAGGCAACGCGCCGATGATGGGATCGTAGTGATGCATTCACTACAACTGTTGCGCGGGGGTGGGGTGCATTTGTCCACGACATATGTGTTTAGATGTATGCGTTCCACATCACAGGCTGCAGTACCATTACTAGTGTTTGATGTCATATGCAGTGATCGCTTTCAAGGAATTGGCGGGCCTTCTTGCTATGCACATGGCTTCCTGTGCGAGCTTCTCAACAAAACAAACCTCGCTTATTCATGGGACCCCACAATGCCTTCATGATCCCTATGCACGCCTAAGCTCCTCAAGTGTACCCTGATTTAAAAACTCCAGTGAGGTCGGTCCAATCCCATCCCTATACAATCCCTTCGTTGCCCCTGTACAATCCCCACGTGCTCCCTTCATAATCTCCATAGGAGCTATAGTCTAAACTCCTTAAAGAAGGGTTATATAGGGGATTATATAGGGGGCTACTATAGGGGTTATTAAGGGGGATACTAGGAGTTTAGACTATAGCTCATATAGCAACCATCGTTCTAAACAAAAAGAAGGCAGCACGGGTGCTGGTCAGGATGGAGCTTTGAATCTGGAAAGCGGGGAGCTGAAGTTCGAGTACCTCGGTCGATAAGGTTGAATCCCAATCCCTAGGGATCCCTATAATGGAAAATCAAATGGAAAAGAAAATGGAAAATGAAATGGAACCTAGGATTATTTTGTGGTTATATTGGGATAATGGAAAATCAAATGGAAAAGAAAATGGAAAATGAAATGGAAACTGGGGTTATATAGGAGTTATATAGGGATCCATGTACACAGATATTACCCACATTGGGTCCTAAAGTCTGTAAATATTACCTACATTGGGCTATTTGGATCCTTAGGGAATCCCCGGTTGGCTGTCCGTGTCAACTCACTGTGCCCCTCCGCATGCGCATTGGGCGAGTACGGTGGCCTAGCATTTTTTGATTACACCAGCGCTTGATGGTATCATCAGCATAGGAGTTCCAACTTTGAGGCGTGTGAAAGCACGAAGCCCATAATTAATGCCATGCACGAAAGGAAGTTCGACCCATACCATTTCGCATACAAATTTGCATGTGGCACCGGCGATGTATCGTAAAGCACAGATTCCCCTAAATTTGCTTTTAAAAGTGAGACCTTAGAAGGCCTGCGTGGACTGCTGGCTACATATATTGTGATTCCTGCACGAAAGTTGCATTTCAAGAGGCCCGGCTGTTCATGTGGGGCTCGTGGGCGAAAGGAGCCCAGGAACTCTGCACGTTTGTAGGCATCATGCTCTTCTGTCATGTGGAGATCCCTAGGCTTGTCCATCACTTTGCAAAGCCGTTTTCAGATCAGCACAGCTCAATTCCATTTAAATGTAGGCAGTCCTTGATTATGGTTGGTGCGGGTTTCAACAGCTGAAGTTGTGGGAATCAGGTAGTGCATCCCTGACCTCCGCTCACTGGAGTTTGCATAAAACCTTATTACCGCTATCCATTATATTACAACATTCCAGAGACACTTTCCAAACGTGTTTGATTAAGTCTATGCATGTATCTTAGGTCTTAGAGGGAGGAAGTAGCTCGCATTATTGCATTGCGGCTGAGGCTGGATTCTGAGACCCAGAATCCAGTGAATGTCTTCAGCTATGAGTCCCGGGATACGAATCATCTGATCGAGGACCACCTTCTTGGGGGTACACTAGCTGCTTAAGCAATTAATTCAGGGTCTTGGGTTCCCCTGCATATGAGGGCAATAAGGGGATTTCATTCCTTATTGTTCGGGCTCCGACATTATAACTTTTGCACATAGTCCAGGTTGCGTGTGAGGTGTGCGTATTCTTTAAAGAACAGTTGGGTCCATGGGGGGGCCTACAAGGATTTTGCAATTGAGTGTATGAATCTGCTACACGGGGATTGGGCTTGGAGGCAAGTCCGAATAAACATGAGTCCAGTTGCTCGAACGCTGTGCAAAGTTGTGAAAGGGACTGGTGCTGGGACCAGGGCCTTTTGGCGGCACTCATGCTTTCAAATTTCCATGTGTGTGTTTCTGGTCCGCTTCTATACGCCTCAAAAGAAGAGGAGTCATGGGATCGCAAGAGTAAACCTGCAAGTTTTGAGAAGCCTGATGTTCCGTGCTTGTGCTTCAGGAGTTCATGCTCTTGGCGAATAGGAAGGTCGCGGAGGACTGCTAGATTCCGCCAACTATGTAGTCCCTTGCGATGTTTCGTGGATGTTTCGTGCCTGCAAGAAGAACCCACCTTCCCCAATCTGCCCACTAGACTAGAGAAAGGCAAGAGTACTGGGAAGAGTGCCTTCGAGATTCTTCCTCTGTACTCTGGAACTATACCGGAGCCTGAAGAGTCGACCCATGACAGTTTCTTCACGGCTTTATGTGACCAATATGTCTTGCTCAGCAAAAGCAGACCAACTCTAGTTGGTTGGTGTGAGAAGCTCCCATGAGGGTCACTTACTGGCCAACGCTTGACGGGCACCCAAAGTCGTCCTCGTCAAATTAGGAGGCTCCTGCTCTTCAATGGGGCTTCTTGGTACCTGATTACCCTAGTGTGATTCCACGCGCCTAGGGGCGCTGGGGATTCCGGCACATGGCAAGGTGTTAGCTTCTGAAAATTTTGGGTGCCCTCTGTAGATCCTGACTTCCACGTATTTCAGACACTAAGTTTCATGGGGCTTATAGCAGGGCCAAACAGAAGGGGGGTAACTTAGGAGGGCATAGAATCTAGAAAGGGTTTGCTGAAGCTTCGTCTAACCCTTTCGGGGCTCATCGAATCCCAAACAGGGTTCGTCGCAGTTCGTAGTGACCAGTGACCCACTTCTCCCCCATTGGGTGTTCTACTAGGTTCGTCTTGCCCTTTTGGGGTTGGTCTACCGTTCGTTGTCTTTTCTACCCGTTGAAGTTATCGACCGCTCCTTTTTGCCCCTCACTATGGGTCCTGCGTGCCCCAATATCAAGTGATCAAGATCCACGCGCACACACAGACCGGGTTCCTTAGAAGAATGCTCGTAAACTGTAGGAAGAATAGCATCCTATCTCATGATTAACAATTTAAAAGTCACTGCACCTGCGTCAGTGGAAGGAGATCAGCAAATGTTGGGAGCAGACGAGCGTTCTCAGGCGCCATCCACCGCCCAAGGTGACGGGGCGGGAAATATGGGATAGGAGAAGCCTTCAAGTTTGAGGCTTCCGTCTTGGGGTTGGATAGGGGACACGGGCTACAGGCAGCAGTGCCGCCGGAGGAAGTCCTGGAGTACCCCAAGATTTTTGTAAAGTAGGCTAGATCGTGTGCCCGTAAATTCTCCTTGCCTACAAGGAGGAGAGCATGTCTGAGCTGAAGAAGCTGCTGGCAGCAACCTGGCTGTCCCTGCCAAGTGTAGCCACTGTGTGCATGGGGGGCTTCCAAAAAGAAGGGCCACAGGGGTACCCCGATACTGTAAGGATTGTAGTTCTTTGGGCATGTAAGGGAACCCTGTCTCTGGAAATCCAACATGACTGATAATACTGCCCCTAAAGTGTTGTTGTCGTCGTCCTCGTGTTTGTCCTAGTTGTCGACAAATACTAGGGGAGGAGTAGTAGGAGGCATGCCCACCCGCGACAACCGCACTCCGCAGACCCAAGGTGGTCGCCGGGTTCATAGGGTGCCTGGCGAGGCATGCTTTGGAATTTCTAGCTTGCGTAATCCGTTCAAGTCTAGGACTGCCAAGTCACTACCACTCCTTCCCCTGCTGCTACTGCTGCTGCTGCTACTACTACTACTACTACGACGACGACGACGACTACTACTACTACTACTACGCTACTGTTGCAACATGGCTGCTGTTGCTGCAAACATCAGTATTGTCGTCTGAGGCCTATGGAATCAAGGATTTCGAGTCTGGCTCAAACAAGGACTGCCCATTATTGATGGTCATGGCCCATCTGGCCCGTGTGCAAGATCACTAACTGTCACAGCCATCATGGCGACACCATTCTAAATTGCATAGGTTTGGGTTCAACAGAATAGAACTTGTAGGGGTGCTGATCTAGGCGCATCACCGGCTTCAGGTCGCAGCCCAGGGCCTCTCTCCATGTTGCATGTCATGGAGAGAGGTGAGTATTCTTCGATCACAGCTTGCAGAGGGGACAGCATCCACTCCATTTCGGGGAGGGGGGCGTTGAAAGAACAAGAGAACAAGGACGCTGTAAATACGTGAGCGGTATTTCTTATTGCATTTGCATAACCTGAGTAAACAGGTGACGTGACATGTACCCAAAGCCATCAGAAAATAGCTTTGCGAGCAGAGGTAGGAAGCCTAACCCTACTGAAGTTACATCGTTTTAGATTTGTTCAGGCTTAGAGGTGTCTCTCGGAGAAGGCGAGTGTTGAATGAATGGTTCATGGAACCCACAGGAAATCGATGCCAAGCCTTTACAGGTAGGCTCTCTCCCACGATAGTGATCCCAGACTCCCCACTTGTTTGTTTGTTCCCAGCGTTCCTGCGTGCCCTGTCAATGGTCAGGAACTCCAGTACTCCCTGGACCATGTGGACAAGCCTGATGACCCATTTTTCAACAGGACCTGCTGGTCATAGACATGCGCCAGAGATGTCGTATTCCAGAGTAGCAAAACAAGCAGCAGAGGTTTGAGGCCACAGGCGCACATTTTTGTTGCGTCCTGGGCGCGTGAGAGAACAATATCATTGTTGCAAGCCTGGCAAGCCTAGTTCTCAGACATCCTCAGTGCTCCAACATTAGAGTCCTTCAGGGCAGACGGCCGAATGTCTCTCACCATTGCACATCCCATATTCTGCATGTAGTGCTAGGCAGCCATCTTACCTCCAATAACAAGCCTGAGCCCACTGATGTTGAGTGAGCATAGTGCTCAGATTTCTGCTGTAGTTACCATGCCCTCGAGCAAAATGTTGTGGTGCATGATGCAGACTATTTACGCTTATTTCATGTGCAGTTTGGGTCAGACAAGTTGCCCAAATCATGCTGCACAGGGCTCGGAGTCCTCCTGAAGAAGGGAACTTCACGGAGCATAAGACCTTACCACGCCGCAGACTCCCTGCAGGTAAGCCCTACGCCAGTATGCCGCATCATAGGATTTATCTCAGCTGCAACCTCTGGGTGCGAAACTCGCCCATCCCTCGACCCCCACCCTAGGCAGCAACTAGAATTTAGAAGAAGGAACACCCAATCTTCAGAATGATGCAGGCTGGTGCGTATCATGTCAACGCGCTGTATGGATTTTGCAAGGACTTGGGTTGGGTCGGGCACAATTGACGTGAGAGGGTTTAGGAGCTACGGAATTCAGGGCACCAGATCTTGAAGCCACCTGAGCACCATGTAGTATAAAAGGTACTGCTTGAATCCCGCGAAAGTTTCGCGAAATGAATCTTTTCTCGCGAAGATGGTCATGTCAGGATGAAGGACTTTGATCAGCACCCATAGATTTCCATGCAAGTAACTAGTTGCATCAGGGCTCGGGGTTTGTTGGCTAGGAGCCAAAAGATTGAAATGTTGGCTGTCTTGAAAATGTGGGCACTGATTTGATCCTGCGAGGTACTTCTGCACCGGAGATCCAGATGTTCCAAAAAAGGACTGGGGCCACTTCGGGCTGGCGACTTGACAGAACGATTCGGGCAAGCAATAGACACCTACTGGGAAAAGAATGATGCACCAAATGCCTGAGCTGTGTTCAGTGAATGCCAGTTCTAAAGTCTCATGGCTAGATCTGAGTCAAGTCAATCGATCATCATGGTCACCTATCCTGCAGGCTGGGGTGGGAACATGGGCAGCAGGCGCTCATCAACACGCATCACCCTGAGACAGCTGAACCTGATATGGGGTTCTCAAAAATTGATTGATCCTCCTGAAGGACCCGATTAGCGAAGCACTGCCGTGCCCTGGTCTTGACTCAACGTTTCCCAAGGGAGCACCCATACATGAATTGGGGGAATGTTAACCCAGCAGCGCTGCGGGACCCTCCACGATTTTGCCCTGCGGCAAGGCAATGGATCACTACACACACTTCACCTCGCCCATCCGTCGCTATGCTGATGTTGCCCCTTCCTTGAATCTGGAGTTCAGGGCGGACCGGGGAAGTAACCTTTTCAACGGACTGCGGCGCGGTTGGGGTCTGGTGTCTTAGAAGCGCGTGCAGTGGTTGAGGGCAGTTCAGTTCAATGTACCCAGATTCCTCTGCCCTGCTGTAGCTCCCTGATTTCTGCTTGCAGGACTCGGGCTTCCTTGATTTCTGGGACTTGCACCCAGGTTTCGAGTTTATAGGAGGAAGCAGACCTGCATGTAAGCAAGGCAAGGCTTCATCAATTCTGTCGCACGTGTGGCGTATCCTTACACTTCACACCAGGTCCTGGGTTTGCAGTAGCCCTTGTGCGCTATCATGCATAGTGTCGAGCCGAAGCCCGGAGTTATCTACGTATCAGAATGCATAGTTGACCATCTACTAAGCTCACGATAGCCTCAACAAGGCTCGAGTCATGTGCACACCATAAAAAATCGCAGTACTTGATCCGTACTAGCATGCATGTGTACACATATATACATATACATACATATTCACGCACACATGGTTCTGAGATCCACCACCTCCAAACCCTCGAGTCACTACAGTACTCAGATTTCTAAATCGGCGCATCAAGACTTTTCCGCAGCAGTAGCGTAAAAGTCTGATCTGCGCTCAGCTCGTTCACCGACTTCTTGCCGCTTCACAAGGCACCCATGACACAGCTAAGGTGGAATTCTGTGTTGTGGAGAATCAAGGGACTCACTTATACAAGGATACTCTTGGTTGGGTTACTGGAGGGTCATATCAGGATGAATTTTCGAATATTGTACGGAAGCTTGCGCTGCTGGTGGTTCCAGCATGATAAGCCTCCCTGCTAGCCAAGTTTGCGGCCAAACTACATCTTCAACTATGAGCTAAGCTTGGGTGCAAATCTCGTGCATACTGTATAGCTCGACAAAATATGCACATGATACTTCTTGATTGTTTTCTGCGAAGGTATACTTGCATCGTCCACATCATGAAATTGCCTTGCGCCGACTTTTTTAACATGCTATTAGCATCGTATACGCCATTTTCGGGTCGTGCATTTTCAAGGTGGCGGGTCCCTATTTGGGGCTTGAAGTAGAGGGGCACCTGACATATTTGAAGCCACCTGCCCTTGAAAGTACACAGCTGTCCTTTTGAAGGCCTAATGCACTTTATACGCAATGCAATGTCGTATAGGTCTTTGAACATCACGGATGCTTTCCCGTCAGTTTGAGATGGTGGAGACTATGTTAAAATGCAGGCTTATGGGGGGCCAAAAAGTTGTGAGAAACATCCATGTGATTCATGGCTTCTTGCCGGAGGCATCGAAGCATTGCCGGTCGTGATGCGGAACCAGCAGGAGCATCCTGAGGTTTTACCGTTGAGGCTTTGGAATTTAGGTTTTCAGGCTTAGGCTGTGTTTAGGGCCGTTAGGGCCGTTATGGGATAATGAAGGCACCATTGAATGTCCGGATGCGAGATGCATGCATTCAGGCCTATATAGGATTGAACAGGTCACAGCATGCCGACATTCATTCTTTCTGTGAAGCCAGAATGTTGAAAACAAAGACACCGGCTTCCTCTTGCGCAGCCCCCGCCAGCTGAAGACTCTGTTCGAAGTAATTCTTCTAGCAACCGTTGGCCTGGCCAACCAATGCACCTTGCCGCAAGAAGAGAGACACGCAGCTTCCAACAGACAACTAGTCAATGTCCATGGATGGCACGTCAAGTCAAAGTCAGAATGAGTCCAGAAATGTGCTCGAGGTTCTTGTCACTTAAATTACGCCAGCATGGAGCCCTCCAAACGCTCCATTTAGGCACGAGCTACTACGAGGCTCTGAGGGCCTGTTGTGAAACAAGCGCAGAAGCACCTAGCCCTCAGTGTATGGATTGAGCATTTGGATTGGGGCCTTTGTTATCCCTAGCCTAAAGAAATTTCCCCACAAATGTGTCTTTGAGGAGATCAAGGATGCATGCGAGCACCTCAACCTCAAGCATAGGCCAGCCGCATTGAATCTGCAAACGAATAACGCATACTAGTGCTAGTTTGGCCTCACTACTAGTATTCGCACTGGTATAAGTATAAGTATATGGGGATACAATTCATATTCGTAGCAGCATGCGTATCATTGAATTTTGTGTTTGTCGGAATGAGAATCTCAATTGCATGTTAGGACAAGTGCTAGATTATCGTTTATTCGTATTGGTATTCGGATCCGTATTGATATGAGGGTTAAGTGTGTTTGGGAAGTCTGGTTCCTTAGAGTAAGGATCCTAGTTCGTGGGGGATATATCTAGAGGGTCTTCCATGAGACTCCCGCCGCTTACCTTCTTTGACAATACCTCCCGTGTAGTCCAAAACTGCGCCAGCACAATCCTTTTGCATCCCCAGGTCTTCCCTGAACGGATAGTCGTCACTTATGCCCCGTCTCGAAGAGTGAGGGCGACCTAAAACGGGAGAGGGGTGGTTGTCAAAATTATGGTCCCTTTTTGGGTACCCTAAATATTAGGTGCCGTATTACAGTAGGGACCCAAAAAGGGACCATAATTTTGACAACCACCCTTGTGTCAGGGGATAACAGCAGCAAGGGCAGAGGCTCCTCTGCCGCCTGGGAGCCTTTCAAGTTCGCTGAATTACTTGAACTAGATGAGCTATAGGGGACTACAATAGGGCTTATTAAGGGGGATACTAGGAGTTTAGACTATAGCTCACTTGAACTAGATGTCTTGCTATGCTCAGGGGCAAGGTCAACCTGAGAAGTGCCTTAAGCTGACAGGCTGTAGAAACCTGAATAAGTATAGCATACTCCAAAACCCAACTTAACCAATCTTGCAAGGGCTGGTGGGTTGGTTGTCCTTGAGCCCTGAGATGTGAGGGCATTCAGTTTGGAAGGAAATCGCTTGGAGGCTGTCAAGTCCAACCTAGCAATGGCTGAATATCATAGCAGGCATTGCTTGGTCTACTCGCTACAACGAAGCCCTCTTGCTGGTGTTCTTTCCGGCTAGCTCTATAGACTCTAGTCTTTTCCTGGGAAAACCGATAATGAAGTATTTTGTGTGCATGCCGTTGGTCAGGGACAAACAGACATGGTCGGTATATGGCGGGCGGGGGCACTAGAAACGGGTTTGCAGAAGCTCCGTCTATACCTTCCGGTTTCGTCTAACACCGCGAGGGGTTCGTTGAACCCCGTCCCCTCCTTTAGTTTCTGGCAACCCACTTGTAAACCCCGTGAGGTTCGACTAGGTTCACCTTACCCGTCTTGGGTTCGTCCATGGTTCGTAATTCCTGTGCCTACCACCGCCCCAGTTACCGCCGCCTCCCACTTGCCCTCCTTGCCCTCTTCTACGTATCACTGACTGTGAACTGCTTTCATGCGTTTGCGATCACTGTGCATCCCCAGGCTCCGTAAAGGGAACCCTGAACAATGAAACCGGACCCGAAGCCTAGGGCCTGCAGGGTTCTGCTGAAATGAGCAGGTCCTGCGGGTTGGGCCCTGGACCCTAACCCGTAAGCACTCATTTGGAGCTCCACGTTCCTCCGTCAGGAATGCCCAGTATGCCGACAGAGCCTCCGTGAGCTTTCATCTCTATCAGTGCCTTGGCCTGCTTTGCCTAGAAAGCTGAAGATCAACCGAGAACTTCGCCTTGTCAAATCTCGTAGTTCAGACCTGATGAGTAGATCTACCCAACAGGGTACCAATCATACAAGCGGATAGGCCATCATTATTGCGGCAGATCTCTGTGACCCCGCGAAAACAGAGAGCCCCCCGCACCACCAAGCAGTTTTTTCTCTAGACTTCTTACCTAAAGAGAGGGGCGTGTTTCTTGATTAGGGAAAAGTGGCTAAATCGTCAGGCAAATCCTGCTACTTGATGGTTCTCTTCATGCTTTTTCTTGTTGAGTCTGCTTGAGGTTGAAAGGTAAGGCTTTGGGTGTCGTTAGAGGCTTGGGTATCTTGAGAATGTCTTGGGGCCATGGCATGCCGTGAGCACAATCACCAGGTTGTTCCTGAAGCGCGGCCCGACAGTGACCCAGCTCAATAGCGGGCTGCACTGATTTTAAAGAATGACTTGAGATTTCTCGAGGGCTCGGGGTGCCTCCAGATGTTTCGATTTTTTTGTACCTATAGTAGCTGAAGATGGTTCTGCTACGCATCGCTTCGGTGGCGTGCATAAGACGGCAGCGCACCAGAAAGGAGATGTTCACGGTGACCTTTCGATCATCAAGTGGGCAGGGTTGCACGGGTCCATGAATGGTCTTGGCTTGCTCAAACCCGTTTCAACTTCTTGAGTGGCTTTGGGGTCAAGAGTCCCTTCTACCCTTACTTCTTGAACCTCCTCGGATCAGTATGATACGCCTTCACAAGGCACCATGCCGACCCTTCAGTGTGAAAGTTCGGCTGAAGGGGCTGCCGATGGACAGTGTATCGCCAGCTTGAAAACTATTGCACTTCAAAGTTACAGAGAAAGTTGTCATGTAGCTCCGAAGCAAGCTTCTTTACAACTGTTGCTTCTACTACCCGCCATGGCACTCACAACTTTGAGTTTTTCGGGTTTAGGGCTACTCCATTTCCTGCCATGGGGCCTGCCAAGTCTGACCTTCATGCTGGCCAGGTAACCCTAAAACAATTGCCTGTTCGCTTAACCCATGGCACTGCGCCCAGAGACCTTGGACCTTGGCCCTATAGCGCTTATGTTCCAAGAAACTCAGGCCCTGCTTTCGACGGGACCACATGCTACTGTTAGCATTCTGTGGAAGCTGTATGACCTGAAGCCAGATACTTTCACGTTTCTGAACAACCCGTCATCTTACCCCACTTGCTGAACTTCTAGTTCTGGCGCAGATTTCCTTCAGACCCCGAGGAACACCTTGCAAGACTTGCCACAGGATTCCAGGCCTATTCACAGCACCACCCTTGCACGACTCCAGCACCCTTCAGGTGGCAGAGGGCGTCATCATGCGGGTTCAGCTTCTAAGGCTGCACCAAGATGTAACGACTGCACGTAAAGTAGAAACACTAGCCATAACCGAAGCATATGCAGCCACTATCATCAGCATCCTCCTTTCAGTAAGTCTTCAAATTCGGATGCAAGTGCATCGAGGCAGCGGGCAGGAGCTCAACTCTACAGCTAGTTGCACAGACACGTGGTTGTTGTTAGTGGATTGAGTTCGAAATCTGTTGGCAGCATGGATGCAGAGGGGTAACAGAATCGTGTGCCGTGATCCCAAAATCCGTGTGAAACAGAGACTGCATCAGGGAGCTGCATCAGCTCGCCCTGCCACCCATGCTGCTGCATCCCTCAAAGTATTGATTTGTGGATGAGGCTTGCCGCACAGTTTTCAGGCTGCTGAGAAGGCCGCATCAGAATGTTTACACACAAGCGGTCCTTGATCTTCTCAACCATCCCTCGCTCTATCTTTGTGTGCACATATTTGTACAAATGAACGCGTATGCCTTCTGCAATTGAAGCCCACAGAGGCAGAGTCTTGAGAAACATGTTCGAAAGAATTCAGCTTACAAACCGCTGATCTGTCAGTACGTTGGGTTTCCCTTCTGAATCTACCCCTGTGACATGAACTGAAGGTCCACCTGACAAACTAGGAAGGCAGGTTGCAGATCCCCAACGTCTGAAGCTCTAGTTCGGCCTACGAGCGATGATGCCAACAACCATCCTTCAACCGAATCCAAAACTCAGGCACGCCCCCAGGCTCCCCACTCACCCATTGAAGCACCAAGCTTCCTCAGTGGCTGAGGCGTGAGGGCATAAGTGTGGCGTCTGATGAGTGGGGCGCAGAAGGCCTTGCACCACTGAGCAGTAAGCGCCTGGGAAGGCAGAGACATATGAGCTGTCTCATCAAAATTCAGGTGCTGTTAGGAACCCTGCAAGTTCGGAGGATGTTCGGTGCTGACTTGGGGTTTAGGGGGTTTGTGGCTCTGTAGCTTTGGTTTGCAGGTTCCCCCACCGCCGAACCTGAATGTGCTTGTGTTTGTGAGCGCCTGCAGTTTCAGGTTTCTGTCTGATATGGGCTGATCTCATACGGATCCCGACGCGGAGTTCTAGAAGGTTTGGTTTCTCTCAGTAAGTGAGGCAAGATGGATTTGAGGTTATGAGCTGTCGGAGCAACGCGCCTCAAACCCTGGATTTAGGGCACATTCCTGATAAAGCCCCTATGCAAACCCAGTGTCCATTACATTTTCTATGTTCGTCTCTATTTGGTACTCCATTATTGCCGTAGTCTGGACAAGAATGGCTTCATAGAGGCAGCATTGGGAGGTACAGCGCGCAAAGCGAAGCAAATCCACGGCAGGGCATTAAGAGGTTCCAAACCTGTTAACAGCCGTTGGTAGGGTTGGTTCGAGGAGCGTGTTTCATAGGGATGAAGTAATAAAGGTGAAGTGCGGGGCTTGAAGCATACTTCAAGATGGCTAGGGCGGAAAGCTTGCGGAAATTCAGACTTCAGACAAATTACATTGACTTCCGGCTAGACTTGTCAGCCTCAGAAACCAGTCTAGTGCGCGTAGTCTAGGGCGCATAGTGTAGGCTCATAGAGGCGAAGTCTCCAGAGCCCCCATCATGACCACTCTTCCAGATGCTCTGGCCTTCTGAAACCTCATCCGCGAACCCTAGACCTCAATCCCGAACTCGAAACACCAAGCACTAGACCGTTTTCCTAATCCCTGAATCCCAAACCCAAACGCCTTAAATCGTAAGCTCTTAAACTTAAACCTAAGAGGAATGCCAACTGCAAGGGTCCCAAGAAATCTCAGCATTTACAGTAGCGGGCTTTGCGCCGTCAACCGTGGGTATAAGTCCTCCTTATTCCAACACAACACAGCAGTATGCTGAGGAACTGGTTGCTGATCATCGAGCCCTGGCATCACGAAGGTTTGTACGTGTCCGCTTGAGTAAGCCCAGCTCGCTCGCATCGCACATCGACGTGGTGCACACGCTTGCAAACACTTCTAGAGGGTTGGACTTGGTGAATCACGTCTATTGACAGTCCTTCTGTTGACACGTCCTTTCACATGACCCTACCGGCTGGCGAGCAAGTCATACTTACATCAGCGAGGTATCACGCTGAAAGCTGAAGACTTGCAGCACTCTGCCCTTTCAACAGAAGAGGTTCAGAGCGTGGAGTATTCTATTGAAAGACTGTTGGTTGTTCTAATGTGGAATGGGTAGCCTTGCCTGTTACATGGCCAACTCAGATCGTTTGTTGACCCCTATGCACTGATGCGGTGACAGAACCGTGCCAGCGCTGCGCAAGATGAGACTGAGGATAAGCAGACAGCATATGGCCGACCCAGATCAAAGTTTGAGGGCATCAACATGAAAGTCTTCGATCGCGCCTTGCCAGCAGCACATCACATTTACACGCCAAGCATGAGATATTAATCTGAGATGGGCAGCAGTAATGTGTGCCTGAAAGTTTGCAGCATAGGTCCTACAAGGCTTTGGACATCCCACCCGAAGATGTTGAGACACATGCGCACATGGGAGGCAGACGTCAACTACGATGCAAGCTAAGACGCAGCCATAAACTGACATGGAATCTCTGGCAGAACCAGCAGCACAGACAACTGAAGGAGCAATGTCAAAACGAGACTGCAGCATGCCTTCTAAGTGCAGCATGCAGGCACGAATTAAGTCTTCTGACAAGAAACACGGGTAGGAATTGCTTTCTGGTTTCGGCGCGAAGTATCCTTGCATGAAACATGGTGAAGCTGTTCGGAGATATTCCGCGACTGGGTGTGGACTTTGGCAACAGGAATGCTGCGAGAGCATGTAAAACCTCAGGGTCTTATCATTACCTTCAGCTTGGCCTGAGTTAGTCATGATTGGGCTTGGTCCAGGCCTGGATATTGATTAATTTTGGGATTGCACTGACGTGCTCACAAGACCAGACCTGAAGGCACAATTTCCAAGGTGGAGAATGTAAGCCAAAACATTTAGAAATTCAATGAGTTTCCTGAACCTCGTCTCCTGAGCCTTGGGGGATTTCCCAAAATCACGCCTTCTTGACGTCGCATTACTGCAGCAGCTCTGAGGCCCTAATCTGTTAGATGTGCATCTATGGTGCATGAAGGTCGAAAGCATTCGAAAATGCTAACCCCCTCGGCTACAGGCGCCGTTGTGAGCATAGAGGCAGACTTGGAGGACCTCAGCCAGAGGTTTCTGAAGTTCACGCCGCTCTGGCTGACTTGACTAGTGGTAAGGTTTAGGTTCAGGAGCAAGGAACTAGGGGTTTGGGGTTTAGGGATTGCGTGTCTTCGCTGCAATGAGTCTGCAGTTTCTTGCTATCAAGACCTTAGTGGTTTAAGCACTCGAGTCTGGGCGTTGGGCTTACTGATGCAAAGTTGGCCTTTGATGAGAAGTTTTTGAATGGAGCGTAATAGGATTCGAAGGGTTTCGTGACAACGGACCCACCCCTGCATCATGAGGAAAACATGCTGAACGAGAGGCAGCATTTAGAAGAACCACCTTTTCACTTCACCCCTTTCCTGGCCTCTTTGCCTCACTGGCATGTAGACGCAAACCTAAACCCTACATCGTAGAGCAAACATGCAACACATGATGCGGTGGGAATCGCAGAATGGATGCTCATGACTGTTTTCGAAGAGAATGAGTTTGGGTAGGAATGTAGTCTCTACTTCTCGAATTACGGAGGACCAGATCGGATCAGCATGGCTCACCTGCAACCCGAGATTCTATAGACTACGCTGCTATGTGTGTGTTGCTGAAATGAGCGGCCCTCAAGGGGATTTTGGGTTATGGGGATTACAAAGACATTGTCGTGGTCCCTATTGAGGAGTTGCTGAAACGACTTGTGAGCAGATGTCTGTTGAAAGAGCCACAAGATTTAAGAATTTGAGAAGCATTTGTTGGGTGGATTGCTTTGGGAAGAAAGCCACATCAGACTGAAGTTCTGCAATCCTGAGCCGTCGCAAAGTCAGACATTGGCACACACTAAGAACATGGCCCCCAAAAGGGTCCAGACTTGTTCTCGACGCCATGTTTGGTTGGTTCTGTCACACTCGCACCCGAATTGTTCAGTGTCATACGAGCATGGGTCATTGATTGGAAACCATTGGCCCTCTTCACGATACTTGGGTACCAAAACAAGCCTTGAATTCCGAATTTCCCCACGGACGCAGAGGTTCCTCGGGATGCCGTCACGTGACTGATCTTGGTAGGGGAGGGTGACTCGGGCATGTCCAATGCGAGTTTTCCTGATATGCCCCAAATACTTGCAGGGTCTCCCAAAACAGATCCCAAAACAGAT